GGGTGTGTAAGGTAGGTGTTAAGCTGACTTATCCAGACTTACAGAGACACAACAGCAGTGATGGTTAGCTCACCGAAAACTTTGGCGCCCGTCGCGGATAGACTGGTGGTGGCGAGGTCAAGGTTGAAGTTCTCTCCGAAGAACCTGCGGTCATCCACACGCGCGCTCTTGGGCGTCTTCGGGGTGGGCGTGGCAGCCTCCGACTCACTCGACACCTTGTTCCCATCCCCATCCTGACCTTCACCTTTAGCTGCACAGACAGAAAATAGTGAAATGGTTGGAGTTTAACGCCACTATCAACACTATTTGGTTATTTAAGAGGCAGAACCTCTGAGTTAAACATCCATCTCCAAAAGGACGGGGCCAAATCCGAAATTCACGTCAAGTACCTTTCCCCAAGGACACAACGTCGGACCGAGCTGAGGCTCGAACCCCTGAACCTCCATCTCACAATTCTTTTGATAATATTATACAACATTTGTATAGCACATATCCTCGCTCAACAGCAATCTCTACACTCAACTGGTAAAATCCAGACACAATTCTACCACGCAGAACACAAGTGTCAAACTTGAGGTTCGCCGGCCACATTCACATCCGGCCTCTTGTACAATTATGTCCGACCCACGAGAAAATTTTAGGCGGTCCATTCTGAGAATTTCCAACACACACAACCTTACTCTAAACTTAAACATGTGTGCTCATATGACCTTATGCACATGTGAGCACCGTAAAACACTTACCAAAATTTTTTTTAAATAATTAAGTTGAAAAAAAGATGACAAACATCTCTGTCAATTTGGCATAGGAGCGAAAACTGGTAAGCGATTATTTGTTATTAGTTCAGCTTTCATGTTTTATTTCACAATTCATTTTTGTTAGAAAAAAAAACTTGACTTTTCTTTAAATTTAGAAAGTCTTTTATTATTTCATACTTAACTCAAATTCCTTGAAAGCATATGGTGCAAGCTGCCATACGTTACAGGCAATAATAAAAAGCTAACATACTGACAAGACCTTTCCTTGTCTATTGTCAGGTACCCATTCCCACCTGGGTGAAGTGAGGAGAATTCGGGTAAAGTGCCTTTCCCAAGGACACTACATCGAGCCTGAGGCTGGAACCCACAACCTCATAATTAGGAGTCATAATTTAGGCTCTCGGACTCGCAACCGTAAGGTCGTGGGTTCGAATCCCGTCAGGGGCCCGACGTTGTGTCCTTGGGAAAGGCACTTA